ATTAAAAAATAAAAAATTTTAAAAATTTGAAATTTCCGAAATGGAATATGATGTTTGTCCAAACTCCAAGACAGAGAAAAGACCGATGGACTTGACACCAGATAATTGGGTGTTGTTGTTTTTAATTTTTAAACAGTCCAATTATGTGTTGACATATGTACACCCAATTTTTTAACTTGTTTTTAACCTGTTTGTGTAGCATAATTCAGCATTTGAAGATGTGCTAATAAGTCACAACCTTACGTCACCATTTTCCACTCATTGTTGCCATTTTTTTTTTTAATATTTTCAAAATATTTACAGAGAGAAGCGAGTGTGTTAGGAATGAACTTGGATTGGAACCCTGTGAATAAATCCATACTTACACATTTAAAATAGCAGGGCGCCATTTTAATCAAGTGTCTACTATATTTAGACAAGAGTAATATGTTGTTTAAAGATAAACTAATATTATATAACATTACGTAATGAAATTTTAAATATTGGATTATAGTTGAAATTATATGCTTTGATTTTACGTTTTCCAAGGACAAAACACTTAATGTAGTCCATTTCTAAGGTAATACAAGAAACAAAAAGAAAAGAGTTTTGTTATTTGTACTACCCGAAGTTTGACACTCCGGATAATTTGATGTGAGTGAGGGGGTCGTGGCCCCACACATTTATTGGTGTGGGCCCCTGACCCCATGTGAATAACAAGTAATTCGAAGTGTCAAACTTCGGGTACCTGTAACAAAACTCAAAAGAAAAAAAAGAAAGTAGGGTTCACGATGATTTTGAAGAATGAAGGAAATGGTGAAAGAATTTAGGGGATTTAGGACTTTTCAGTGGGACATTTTGGAGGTAAAGGGTAAGTAGGATTACTGGTCATCAGAACTTTCAACATTATAAGTGGGGGCCATTTAACAAAATTTGGTAGACTAATGTCTTATTTGAGTCATATTATTTGAAAAAAAATATATTTTTCAATAGTGATTTAACATCATTTCAATCACATGTTCTTTAATAAAATAATATTATACGCAAATTCAAAAAATTTCCTTATTTTTTAACCACACATTTTCCATCAATATACTATCGAAAAATGCAGTTTTATTCCAATAATGTGGCTCAAACAAAGGCTAAGCTTTTTAACCAAATCTTTCGACAAATCCCCCCTAACAAATATTTCACTCTTTAGAAAAATTGCATTTTTTCTATATCTATTAGTTTGATAGCAAGTTGATTCTCAACCTATTAAATCCGCAACCTTATAGTTACATTGTAGTTGAAAAATCACTCTCAAATCATAGGAACTGTCCAGTTTTATAGAACTATCACGACCCAGTAGAAATGCGCATCACATTAAACTTCTAAACATGAAAGCATAATAAGTTTGGAGATAAAACATAATTTCAAATAGTTAGACATGTAAAGACCACATAATGATTTAATAGATATGTGAAAAGTTTCTTATTAACGAAAATTGATTATGAAACTATAATGACAAGTTGAGATAAAGTCGCTTCCATCAAAGATTGTGAACTGCATTGCTATTCTAATTAATAGTGCGAGGACCACTAATGCGATTTTCCCACAACTTTACTGCTTTAGTGCGCTAGTGGGTGGCATTATGATTACAACAACAAAAGATTTGATAGCTGAACCTCAAATTTATCAAAAATAAGACTAAATTTATAATTATCATACCAATAAACGAAGAACTATGACCTATCTCTAATGATAATCTTACTTTTTAGAGTTATGAATCTTGTAATATTATCAAATATCCTATTACCACGTCAAAATTGAAGAAAAAATGAAGAAATTTTTTGCATTTTCCTTGTGAAATCTTCATGCTCTTTATGAGCTCGTTAATATCTCTTCATACATCGTTACCATTCAATGTGCATCATAATCTCTTTTTTCATTTTTTAGAGTATAAAATTGTTTGAATCAAGGTTCATTTGATATCAATCATGCAAGAACACCAGAAATATTCAGATTGAAGGAATTGACCACAATGAAATTTTCTCTTCTGTAGTCAAGTATATCTCTATAAAAGTCATGTTTTCCATTGTTTCATAATTTGAGTTTGAATTGAAATAATTTGCTTTGAAAACTGCTTTTTTGCATGGAAACTTAGATGAAAAAATTTATATGGTTCAACCAAAAGGCTTTGAACAAAAGGGAAAAGAAAACTGTGTGTGTCTTTTACAAGAATCACTTTATGGTTTGAAACAAGCACCTAAACAATGGTATATCAGATTTGATACTTTCATAAAAGGGCTTGATTTTAATAGAAGCGTATATAATCCATGCTTTTACTATAAAGGAAGTGAAAGTCCTAATTCTTGTTATCTATTGCTCTATGTGGATGATATGTTATTTGTTGGGTGTGATGTAATTGAAATAAATAACATTAAGTAAAGGTTAAAAC